CGGGCCGGGGGCGGCTGTCAAGGCCGCAGGGCCCCTGCTCCTGCCCTCCCCCGGGTCCTGCTGAGGGGGTGGCCGGGCCCCGACTCGTCCCCTCCGTGCCTGTGGGTGAACCCACCGCAGGTCCCGCTGCTCCAGCGCGGCCGGGACAGAGACCGTCCCCGCAGGGAGTTTGCAGCCCTGCCGGTGCCCGGGGCAGGGGCAGCGGGTGGGCCCGGGGTGCCGGTGTCGGCCGCTGGCTCTGCCCCGGTGCGGCGGCATTTTACCAATTCAGGCCCTTTATACAAACTGGCAAAGAAACCCACGTGCAGCTGCCGCGAAGCTCGTGGTTCGAGAGCTGAGAGCGCTGTGTGCCGTTCCCTGGGAGGCTCCCTGCCTTTCTGTGTTCTCTCATCCTCCCCGCTCTGAATTCGAGTGACATTCAGGCACCTCTGTCTCAGATCAGATCGTGTGAAGGTCACAGATACATCACTGGCACCCGGACAGTTCCAGAGGCACCGTGCTTTTAACCATGAACCAGGGGTGTGCAAATGCATTTGAATGTTTCTGTGAAATGCCAAAAAGGGGAGGATGCTTTGAACGTTTTGTGCAGCACTTTTTTTCCTGTTTGGATTATGAAGTGTTTCTCTTCTTTTACTAGAAAAGCTGCCAGACTGGGAAAATTTCAACAGCAGAAATTGCAGTACAGTCTCATACCAGCCGAGATGCCGGCGTGCAGACAGATCAAAGTAAAGATGCTGTCCAAGACTTCCAGCAAGAAATCCAAGTAGATTACAGCAGCCTTCTGTCATTCCTTCAGAGAGTGGAGCGTGCTGTTATCAAAGAGCTAAATAAGAACTGGAAAAGCCGTGCCTTTGATGGCTTTGAGGTGAACTGGACAGAGCAGAATGAAACAGTAAGTTGACAGAATTCAGATCCTTACTGTTACCCAAAGAGCTGGTTGCAGTGGCTCCAACTCCTTAGTGCTGTTTCTTACTGCTGTGATTGTTCTTTACAGATTCTAATAATTAGAAATTCCAGTTGCTTTCTCCCTTGCTGGGTAAAACTGTTCTTCCTGCTGGTGACTTGCAGCAGCTCTGTGAGAAGGCTGCGGTTTATCTTCAGCTTCCAGAGCATTCCAGACCTGCAGTTATCCAGGAACAGTTGCAGCCAGTGATTGGGCAGCTCTTCCTATTGAGGTTGTATTTGTTTAGTGTACAGTGCTGAGGAGAGGAGCCAGTTTGTGTCACACAGTGTGTGTTGGCACAGTCCAGCGAGTGCTCAACGCGTACGTGGGGGGCCGCTGTAAATCCTCACGGCTCAGCCTCCTGGAGTTGTGCAGCCCCTGAAGTGAGCGGTCTGTGAGAGGTCGTTATGAACAGTTGGTTTGGTAGGGTCCTGTGCTTTGATATTTTTTTAAATTTGTTAGGAACTCAACAGCTTTTTGATTTATATCAGTCCCTGAGCTGCTCGGGCAGAGGGGAAGCCTACGCTGTAACCGCACAATCACGTGCAGGAGCACGCACAGCTCTCACTTCTCTGTGTTTGGAGATTATTGCTTCAGTGTTTGAATTCCATCTCTTCCAGGTGTTGTGTTTGCACACATTGTCCTACCCAGAGGCTCAGGAGCAGAAGCTGCAGGTCACCAGCATCTCATGGAGCGCAACCGGATCTGTTGTTGCGTGTTCGTATGGCCGGTGAGTATCTGAGTGGATTGAGAGTGCAGCTGAGGGCAATGTGATGTCTTAAGCTGACCTGAATGTCTACAGCAGCTTCTCCTTCCTGTGCCCCACTGCTGCCCTTAGTGCTTTTGCCTTCCACTACCATTGCCTTAAATTAAAAGCCTCAGCAAAAAGGGATCCATGAGTGAAAGTGTAGGGGAGAGTAAAACAGGACAAACCTGTATGTTACCTGCCTCCTGCTCTCCCAGTCTGCAGCTGTTTTCAGATTACAGTGTGGTTACCCTCAGAATTCCCTTCCATGAACTTACACAGTCTCTGTGACTCTGTGTAAACCTTTAGCATCTACAACATCCTTTAAGAAGGAGTTTCACAGATCAACTGCTCCTTGGATGAAAAATTGCTCCTTTTCATCATATCTCTTACAATAAAAGGAGCTTTAAATAAAGGCAGTAGAAGTGAGGCTCAAAATACCTGCTTCCTGTCCTGGCCCCTGACTGTTCTGTAGATCTCTGTCCTCCTTGTAGCCGGACAGGACATCACATTGGTCAGTGGCAGGACACACACAACACTTTGGTAAGTGTGTGATGAATGAAACAGGTCGAGATGACAGCTACCAGCGTGGCAGGTGTCTGTTAGCGTCCCAGAGGAGTAATTCATGAGCCACGTGTGGCAAACAAGTGTGAATGGGCTGAAATCTCTAGAGCTGGGTGTGCGGTATGGTTTGTGTAGGGTCATCAGCACCATTGGGTGGTTGTGGAGAATTTCTCTGTTCCTGGGGGGGCACCTGGACTTCAAATCATGCTGCTTATCTCAGGCCAAGCAAGACTCAGTAAGTCTCTTCAGCCCCTGTCAGCCCTCCAGGAAGGATATTTCCTCACTGTGTATTCTCAGACCCTGGATCTTTGAGTGTTTGTGTGGAGGAACCACAGTTTGCAACTCAGCCAGTTTGCAAATCAGCAGCAATTTGGTCTCTTTAGATTTTTCATTCCCAAATACTCCTAGAAACTTCCTGTATGTGCCCTTTGGATTGTTCCCATTATTTGAGTGGTTAGGAGGTCCTGGGACAGTGAGTTGTGTCCGAGATTTACTCGCAGGGGCTCTGCTCTGTAAGCCCAGACATCTGCTGTGTATACAGTAGCCCACAGAGTTTTGTCACTTCATGATCCCTTCACCTCCCTTTTCCTTCAAACCACATTTAAATGACCAAAGGGACGTAGCAGGGCTCTGCTGGACTGGGATTCTCTGTGGGACAGACAAGGCAGGATGCACCTTTCTCCTCTGCAGGTTGCACGGTGGGGACTGGAGCACAGAAAAATCCTACGTCTGCACCTGGAATCTGGACAGAAGAGGGTTGAATCCCCAGCGCCCTGACCTCGTGGTGGATGTTCCCAGCTCTGTCATGTGCCTGGCTTTCCACCCCTCCCAGCCTGCACTGATAGCTGGTAGGCTGCTCTTACCTCAGATCCCCTCTGACTTGTACCCTCATTTCCTTTTTCTCTCTCTCAGCTCACTCTGAGGTTTCTTGCAGAAGTGGTGGTGTTGCAGCTCCTCAGACGGAGGAGCTAACGCTCGCCAACGCTGATGCACACACTGTTGTTTCTGAACTGGGACTTGCTGCTTTTTCAGTGACATCTGCCTCTATGTCACCTCCTCAGAGAGGATAGAAGGAAGTTCAGCCCTG